GAGACCCTGTCTCAAAAAAAAAAAAAAAAAAAAAAGTATATGTAAGCTGTTTTGAAACTAAGACCGTTAGCTGTTGGTGCTTATTGCAAGAGTTGACTGTTGTTTTCAGGTGTTGATGCATAAGTGGCACATCTAGAGTACTTGGGATTTGAGGAATTCCTTGCACAGGCACTGAGTGAGACCTATTTATTGTAGCTCTGTGGCCTGTTCCCTAATTTTGTATAATTGAATCTCAACTTCCCCATAGAAATTTAACCAGGTACACATCATGTAGTATTAGCAGCAGCACAGACTCTACCATGTTCAGCAAGTAAAGAATTAGGAGCTCTTCTATTATCTAAAGCCATTGTAGCAAGAGAATTTAATGAGGGCTGCTGTGGGGCAATAAATAGCCTTTGCAGTGGAGTTTGTAAGGATTCCTGGAAGAATGGACAGGTTATTTTTCATTTCTTCATTAGCTATGCCATACCACTGTAGAAAAGAAACTAATGTGAAGTCCCATGTTCCACCAGGTAACTCACATTTGACTCTTAGGTGTGTGTGGTGAGGAGAGTAGTGCAATGACTACTCTCTTGATTTCTTTCAGATCTATTATCTTTTGACAGCAAAGTAGTGAAATAATCCATGAAAGAAGAGTGTCATACCTAGAGAGAGATGTGAGGCTGAAGGGGTAGGTAGGAAGAGAGTTTTAGAAATGAATGAATGGCTCAGTTGAATCTAAGAAGTTGATAAGAGCCAAAGAACAGTCTGTTTATATGGAAATAAGAGAAGGATGGGAAGAGCGGCATGGGAGAGAGTGCTGTTGTAAGAAAGATGTTGTATACTTAGTTCTTCACTGTGAACATTAAACCAGAATGTTTACTTTTACTGCATTTACATGATGGAATTTGACATCTCATTTAACTAGTTTATCATTTTCTGCTGACAGACACTTGACAACCATTATCCCCCAGTTTTTCTCCCCAGACCTAAACCATTGTCTGCTGTAAATCTGATTGTTTGGAGAACTGACCCATTTTGGCATGTGTGTGTGTGGGGGGAGTACTACTGGGAGTTGAACCTTATTTTGAGACAAAATCTCTGAGTTGCCTCAGCCTCCTAGAATGTGGGGATCACAGGCTGTATCACCATGTCAGGTTCTGTTTTCTTGGTTTGTTCTTTTTTTACTGGAGCCTCATGAATGGTAGGCAAATACTCTACCACTGAATTACAATACAGCCTTGGTTATTTGGAAAGATTAAGCACTGTGGAATCTTTTCCTCTTGTGTTTAGGTGTCTTCATTTTAATTCCACTACGGGGAGTTTTGTGAGAGCTTTGGTTTCCACTTCTGATGACTTTTCCCCCCTTAAATAATTTTTTTTTTTTTTTTTTTTTTTTTTTTTTTTGGTATTGGGAATTGAACTCAGGTCCTTGTGCTTGAAAGGCAGGCCACCCAACCACTAAGCTAAATCCCTGGCCCCCTTTTTTTGGTTTTTTGAGACAGGGTTTCACCATGTAGTTGAGAATGACCTGGAACTCACTATGTAGCCCAGGCTGGTCTCAACTCACAGCGATCCTCCTGCCTTAGTTTCCCGAGTGCTGGGATTACAAGCGTTCACCACCATGGCCGGCCCCCTTAAATTAATTATAATAAATTTCTACAAGGAGAATGCTTGATAGAACTCACTGAGTAAAACTGACCCAACTAATAATTACATATCATGACCAGGAGAAAAGAAAACAAAACAAACCATAGCTTCTCTTTCTTCAGAAGAGTAGAGTTTTGAAAGATAATACTTATGATAGAAAATTCAAGAAGCGTAAAACTAGTCTGAGAATTTAGCTCATTGGTTCCACCACCTGCCTCACAAGTGCAAGTTTCACTGAGTTTGATCCCGGTAAGAAAGAAAGACGGGGGAGGGGGGGGG